ACGGTATTTCTCAAATTATAGGCGGTTATAAAATTAGCGGTTAGACCGACGGAAATGAGTGACATGGTTTTTCGTGACGTACATGTCATATAAAATCCAAAAAACATAATATCTTATTTTAGAAATCTTGTGCGATTACAATACTTCCTCGCCCAGTTGCGTTGGAGCTAAAATCAGTAGAATTATTAACCATGTGCTATAAAATGTTGGGAGAAAGGCTCTGCCTGTAAGCCTGTGCCATGCGCAAGGTAGATTGCCTCGGATGCCGTCAGATTGCCTCCTATCTCCTTTCATTGGATATCCCCTAGACTCCTGAATTGCCACAGGTTTCCTCTTATTGTTACAATGTACTAATTTTATTACTTTTTGGAACGCGAAAGCTCTTACTGGATTAAGCGGTAAAAATACCATATGGTGATAAACTCAACCGTTCTCGATTTTTCGCTAGCTGCTTAACCTGGTGAAAGATTGTGATAAGCACCTATCGATTTGTTTATTGTTGGTTACAGAACATGTGAACGCCTGCATATAAATAGTGCCATATTTTATGGTAAGCTCGTATTATAGCCACATATTATACTTCGGTGGTTAGATACTGTATTACATTGCTCCTTGCAACGAGTGGTCATAGACGTGGTGGCGAGAGATCTGGAGGTTATCACTGCTTGGAGACGCAACAATCGGGTACAGTTTAATGCTTGACCAACAAGAAGCGCCCCAACGCGCCTCCGGTTCCGATGAATGGCCGAATTCTACCATTCGGCTGGTTAGAGTCCAGATCACCGAGGTCTTGATTTGGCACTAACGCATCTCGCCAATCGCGGTAGCTGCTGTGAAAATCTAACTTGTTCAGTGCTAAAAAGCACTGTTCACCACATAATCTCGTCACTCTGTACAAGGACCAGATAAGACCTGGCGTCGATTGCTGCTCACATGTTTGGAGTGCTGCCGACTATAGGAATGTCTGATTGACCGTTGACACTCCTCTAACGGACAGTCTGAAAACCCTTTCGCACGGACGGATCGACTGAGAGAGAGCTCTGTTCTACCGTTATGTCAACAGGTTTTGCTCCTTAGTGCTCCATGTGTCTGCCAGACAAACCCGCCTGACTTTGGCGTCCATCCTAACCATGTAGAACTCCGTATATTGAGTACTGGCCGATACGACCGCTCATTTGTCCCTAGAGTACCCAGATCTCTCTACCTAAGGAGACTCTTCCCATTTTTACTAACCTTAGTCAGTTCAAAAATCGGAGTGACAAAGTGCTTTTAAACTACTTATTGCCTCCCCGGCGCCCCAGTTTTTATGCTTCGGGATAAAAAATAATAGACAAACAAGTTACATGTGACGCAAGATGCACGTGCTGTATGTCCAAACTACTATTTACTACTTCGGGGAGGGGTCCAGCTTAGAGCACTTTGCCTTGACTACGTCCATGCAAAATCGAATGTAGTGTGCATGTTTGTGTCAGGTAATCTGTAACGCATTGCGTGCCACAAGTACACTCTAAATTATGGGGACTACAAACGAGTTACTTCATTAAGTGAACTCATATCAGGCTTGACGTCACTCGAACAACCACTTCCTTTAAACTGCCAATCAAAAATGTCGTTTGTATCGTGCTTTGTGTTCGTCACAAAGCCGAATTGTCCTGGTTTACCAGTTAAGGGTCCAGATCTATAATTGCATTATCAGACGATGTAGCTGTATTCTTACCTTCATCAAAGCCAGATGTGTGCTCAGGCTTTCAATTCTAAAATTTAGAACGCAATATAACCATCAAACGATGCTAAAATGTCGCAAAGCTCTATTTGATGAAGGGAAATGGAATTTTTGGAGCCCGTAGTCGAATTCAGCGAAAAACCGACTTTGGATTCGTGATCTGTCCATTCGGTTTTCACAAAAAGCACAGATCTTCGTCGATATCACAGATCCACATAAATTTTTATTTACATGTTAGACGATCATATATTAAACAGTCGATGTCATCATGTCATCGAAGAAACCCTCTTCTCTAGTAACTGACAGTTCTTACTAAAAGTGTGCGATGATTTTTATGAAAAGCAAAAAATAAGATTACGGAAGCACTAAAGGGGGCAGGTGTCTTTGCTTTGCTTATCTCTGATGACATGGGTAATGGGGGGGTCTGAACAGTGATAACATAAAAAAAAAATATTTTTTACTGTTTCGGATTTTCTACAAAAATTAGTCGAGTTTGGTTTGAACGCATATGGCAACCCTGCTTCTCTATGCTGGCTCGAAGAGAACGATGTCGATATTCCAAAATCACACGAAAGTTAACAGGCATACATCAAGCAGCAAAAATCCGTTTGACTTTGTTTGCCAAAATTCTAAGAGAACAAATAAAACAAATTAACCCTTCCACAACGCAGGATCTTGTTACGAAATCTGTCTGTCCTTACGGGGAAAACGCTGCCTGCTGATTCATCGGCTTCCCGTTCCAAATCAACATTTTATGACGCGCTGATCTATCCGCTTCCCGTTACGAATGACTATACGTCTTTGTATTTTTTATTATATTCTTTAGTGAAATAGCCATATAATTTAAAAAACCCTTTTATTTACAAAGGCATTTTCATACAAAAATGTTATTCAAAAATACAAACACATATATGTAGATAACAAAAACATAACGTAAGTAACAAAAGCTGAATATACAAATGCAAATAGAACATTGCGACTTGAAATTCTCCACGCAAGACTTTGGGACCATGGTAACTGGGCTGCAATCAGCCTAGTACTTGTACTACGTAGAAGACTCCCCTTAAAATGCGGTCCTAGTATGATGTTTCATTTTTTGGTCACGAGTTGTGAATCACCCTGTATTAGTTTGTTCAACAATCGTCTTGATCGGATATTTTCCCATTTCTCGGCGTCGCCATCGAAATCGCCCTCAGAATCGCTATTCTGTAATATTTTGCGACAATTCTCTGCATGCCTGTTCCCCCACCACCGAAAATTTTCGCTTGTAAGCATTGGTACAAACAAATACTGACATAATATGCTCTATGCTGATTAACACGCTTTCCATAGTTAAGCGGGACCTTTGTCTCTGCGTAAATATAGGTTTCCCGTATACCAGACACTACTTTTTTTTCGAATATAACCGGCTCCCGACGCGAAAGGGTTAAAAGAACAAATGTACGTGTATTCGAAAACTATAATAATTGAATTACCATAATTTGTTTGAATAAATATTCGTTTAGTTCATCTATCTTAATCACATTCCCTATGAATCAATAAACAAACCAGAACAAATTGAAAAATGCATGTAAAGGGCGGACCATCAGTTGTTTTTTTTAAGTTGGTAACCTTTTTGACAATTGGTAACACTTCCATGCTCAACGTATTGACAGATATATGTGTCAAACTTCCGCTGTGAGCACTGGATCGTTTCAATCTTGAACAAAGGAGGGAAATATTGAAAAACTATTTTCAAAGTGAGTGCTGTGTTGCAGAAACTGCTAAAATTCAGAAGACTATTTGGTCGGAATGAAGCTCCGTTCGCGACTGATATACGGAAATTCGCGAGGCAGCTTGGTGAAACTAGCCTGCTTGTCGATAACAGAAGGGGTGAGCATGTTCGACCGTTATCACCGAGAGTACAAGGCCTGACAACAGACGCGTGACGTCACCACGAGTAGGCCGGTCGGCCGGCCGACAGCACGGCGTGCCGTACATCAGCTCTAGTGAATATTATATTATTGCAGCATATTTAATATACTCTACCTGACGTAAATAACAGATAATTCAGAAAAGTGTTTTTGGAATATGAAGGCAACTTGGTGGAAAATATTAAAGTAGTTATTAACTATTTTCACCCTGACTTTCACTGATATTTCATCCAATATTACGTGCACATTAGATTAATAAGTTGATGTTATAAAAGCTTGCTAAAAATGATAAATTCTTCAATGAATAACCCCATGTTAGTCACAACCGATCAACAAAATTTCACAGGAATATGTGGACAATTTACTATTATTATAGGTATAATATAATGGTACTTGACAATTATATAAAAAATGTAGTACTTGTAGAACAGTTGTGTCCAGCAAGAACCAACGAGGAGGTCTGAGGTAAGCTCTTGCCAGGAAAGGAAAAAGGAAGATGAGGAGGAAAAAGTGTAGGATAAATGATAAGAAAAACAGATAAAATCAAAGTAAAATAAACAACAGAAAAAACATAACAAAGATTAAAGAAAACTTAATAAAACTCTTCGAACAAACAAATAACAGCACAAAATAATAACAAAATTAGAAAACAGAAAACAAGTATCAAAAATAACAAAAATTAGAATAACGAAAATTAAAGTGCTAAATTCTGAATATGTACAAATAAACATTTATCTACAGCTATGTAAATGTTGCGGCCTCATGTGAATGTAGTCAATTTACGTTTCTTTGCTTTATTCGCGCTTGCAAAGCTGTCGTTCCTTTTGGCACAATAATGTTTCAAAAATGTATTGACTGTGCAAATAACAATTAGTTTTATAACATAATCTGATGAATGGACTGTGCAACGCGAAAATGAAGTGTCGTGATTATTATCACTCAGATTGTTAATTATCATGACAGGGATTTCATCCTTTTTACTATCAATATCAGACTGTAAAATTTCAATTTCCCGGAAAAAGTGGTAATCATTAAAATTGTGTAGAATTTCATCTATTTCTAAATCATTATTTTCACAGAATTTATCTATGTGACATCAGGCTTTTCGTTCGAACCTTTTTTTCAGATTCATATAACTGACGAATTGATATATTATATTGACCCCCTGCCAGTTGACGATACTTACCAAATCTATTTTCCAATGAGTCAGTTTGAAATTTACCTAACAATATATAATTACTGTGCAGTTCAGATTTACAGTACCTTACTAATTCCAATAAGCCATATACTGTATGATGTAGTGCAGTTTAAGTCTGACTAGTTAGTCTTTTTGAAAATTTTGCTGGATCATTCCACTCTTCTAGTCAATCTAGCATTTTTTGCAAGAATTTCAGCTTACTGTCATCACCTTGTCCATCACTGTTGGAGCAAACAATAGGCTCTGCATAAAGGTCATTTAACCACTTTCCTTTCAATGGACTTTTTACATTGACAATTCTCCACCACTTCCATATAATATCAGTGTATTTTGCTGTCTTTTCGAAGTGCCGTATGTTTTTACCAAACCTTGATACTGCACCTATTACAAATGGGTTGAATATCTCGAGAGCTAAATGAACATTTTCAAGGTTGGTAGGATGTAAAGCTTTTAGGGTCAAACCATAACCATTTTTCAATATTTTATGACTTTCCATTTGGTACAATGTTTTAAGAGATTTAAATGAAACAACATTTACCTCATGTGTTTCAAAATCTGGGTATGTTAAAATTTGGTCTGGTTTTGAATTCAGCCAATTATTGCGGATACATTTTAGAAGGTGCACTGTATCAAAAAGGAAGAATAGGGGATGTTTTTTATCCAACGGATACGGATAAACAATGCTTGTTTTATTATCTGGAGAAAAATGTGCCATCGCTTTACTATTCAGTGCATTATTATCACTTACAACACAAAAAAATGTATAACCAAGTTCTTCTAATCCAATAATAATTTTTTTTGTCCTATTGTATAATAGATTATGATCAATTTTAGAAACAGGACAGATTTGAACAACTTCTTTGAAATTGGAGCAGAAGCTTGAAATCATAAACACATAGGCTGTTGTAGCTAATGAAGTATTATTAATTGACGTTCCAACAATCTTACCCCCTTTGAAATCTAAATATGGCTGAATGTGTATTTCATCCATCAATAAAATCATGTACTCCTCACCATGTTTTATAAATCTGAAAAGGTTTTTTGCATAGCCTAAAAAGTTGTATCTCTCATCGGGAACTGGATCGACCATCAATGTATTACATATTGACTTCAGAGTATTTTGGTGTGGTAAAATAAGTGCTCCATGGCTCCTAATAAATCTATATGGATGTGGACTGATTGTATTCAACATAGAGCAAAATACTATTGTTTCTGATGAGTAACTGTATCTGTTCTTCTGACTAATAGCAAGCTTTAGTTGGTCACAAATAAATTCAATGACAGTGTGGGTCTCTTCATCGGTGAATAGTTCTGTGCTATTTAAAATATTGTAAGCAAGGTTGATAGTGGCTCTGAACTGATATTTACCTGAATATTCCCTCGAAGCATCTGCATTCTCAGAAAGAACATGCAGAACACCATCCAAGTGGTGTATATTAGATAATAAAAATGGAGTTTTAATATTACCTGAGTTGAGTAACAATTCTTGGGAGTACATATACGTTTTTACATTGAGATCTTTATCAACAATTACAGAGTGAGTTATGATGGGTGCTGGTTTATATTCTAACTTAAACGAAGTAACTTTATCCTGAACAATTTTATGCCACCCATATGGGCATTGCCATGAACTGAAAACTGTGAGAAAGTCTAAATAATTTTGAAAACAAGTTGATTTTTGATAGGAGGAATAATCATCAATGCTAGTTTGCAGTGCTTTAAGTAGTTGTTCTTGTTCCTTGTCCCTCAATTTCTCATCTCGGCTTCTTCTGCTTGATATCTCCTTTGAAAGGTATTTTGGACAATTTGCAAAGATACTTGGAATTACATCTACCTTTAATTCTGTATACTTAAGAGGTACAGTAATGGTCCTACCTGTCTTTTCGTCATGGAAGATGGATTTCCAAATGATGCTGTCCTCAGCAAAGTGCAAATTACATACTCGGGTTTATTTTGTAACCACTAAATCACTACGAGGGATTGCATTGAGCCCTCTTTTACGACAGTTTTCGTTCAAAGGAAACGAAAATACGTGTACCTTCGGACCCTTCATGTAATTACCGACACAACTAGGAACGCAGCAATTGTAAGGCATTTTGAAAACTTAGCTAAACTATCGCGAGACACAAATATAAGTTTAAAACATCAATAATTTTCAGTTTACATAGCATAGAAAGATGAGTCTCACAATGTGAGGTTAGTTGGCAAGGTTGCCACATATTCCAATTTTGAATGGAATATTAGACTTCACAAGTAACAGATTGAACGTAATATCAAAAATGTATTCTTGACATACTGAGGCAGATCAGAAATAATAGTCACATCATCACTGAAGCTGCGCAGGCCCCGAGTACATCTTGCAAATTCGTCCACAGAGAGGTACAACTAATTAGTAGAGATTTCGATACTGTTATATCAAACCTAGATATGACAACACCCCAGATAAATGGTGGCGCGGTTCTCTTGCCGGCCAGTCATCGCGAAACTCCATAAGAACATGCATAGGCCTACTCTGCGTGACGTCACAGGCTTTTCAGAGCCCAGTTGTTTGGCCTTGTACTCTCGGTGGTAACGGTGAATGTCAACTCCTCACAGAGCACAAGTGGGCATCTGTCGCACTCCTGTGCGGAGAATATTGCATAACGACCAGGGACTATTTCCTTACAAGGTGCAACTTGTGCAAGAATTGAAAGTAAATGACCATTCGCTCCGATATCGTTTCTCTGCGTGGGCTCTAAATCAATTGGAAGCGGACGTAAATTTTGGTCGCCAAATCATCTTTGGGATTCTAAAAATCCACATATCGTCGTAGATAAACCAATGCATCCAAAAAGAATAACTGTTTGGTGTGGCTTTTGGAGTGGTGGGATTATTGGTCCCTACTTTTTTCAAGATGAAGACGGTAACAGCGTGACAGTAAACGGGGAACGCTATAGAGAAATGTTGAGGAGTTTTTGTGGCCACTATTAGACGAAATGCATTTGCACAATCTCTGGTTCCAGCAGAAGGGCGCAACATGCCACCCCAGCCTTGAAACAATCGATCTTTTACACACTAAACTCGGTCATCGCGTTATCAGCCGTTTTGGAGACGTTCATTGACCAGCCCGCAGTTGTGGTTTGACGCCCATGGACTACTTACTATGCGGTACTGTTAAGGACCGCTGTTACACTAACGATCCTCAAACAATTGATATTCTTAAAGGAAAATATCTGTCGAGCTATTGATGAACTAGACCCACAAACTATCGAAAATGTGCTTCAAAATTGGGTTAAGAAGATTCACTACTGCCAGGCGAGCCGCGGCAGCCATTTAACTGAAATTGTTTTCCATGAATAATCGGAAGGGGTATCCTTTTGAATAAAGTATCGAGTGTTGCATATTATTGGAGAGTGTAGTTTTAATACCAATTTAAAAAAGAAACCAACGGATGGCACGCCCTTTACCAATGTTTACGTAAGCATGATTTATTGTTTAAATGTTACCAGGCTTATATACGTTTTTAAAGGTTACATTTGAACCTTAGGCGATCATAGATTCGGTGTCATCATGTCTCCGTAAGCAAACCTCTTTTCTATAATCTAGCACCTTTTTGTAAAATATGGCGATGATTTTCATGAACAACAAAAAACAGAATTAGAGGAGTGGGAAAACATCGATTAAATGTTTCCAGATACACATACATTTTTATGGGATACCGTTAAACCTTAGGCGATTATAGATGAAAGAGTAGGTGTCATCATAAGTTACTCTAAGCAACCTTCTTTTCTAACATTTCTTAGTTAATGTTGCCGATGATTTTTATGAAGAGCAAAAACAGAATTAAAGCAGTGGAACCATATTGTTTGAATATACTCAGTGACATTAGAAGTGTTACACCAGAAAAAATAATTTCTTCCACCTGATTATTTGGCTCTTCCATCAAGAATGAAATGATAACATTCTCAAGAAATTTTATTGACAGGTAATAAAAAACAATATTAATAATTTGTTAGGCAACGTCACAGCTGAATACACTTCTGTATAGATCTATGCATCGACAAAATAAGACGACCGATGTCTGGTTTGGCACCTCATTCCAAGCAACTCGAACTTAATGAATTAGCTGTGGCAGAGGGTGCAACGTGGATAGTCCCCTCCTCATTATATCGCACACATGTTCGATGGGATTTAAATCCGGTGAATGTGGTAGAGACCGCAAAACATGAACGCCTGCTTCTTGAAAAAATGTCCGTAGTATGACGAGCAATATGAGGACGTGCGTTGTCTTGCTGAAAATGGACGTGTGGATGGCTCTCTAGATACGCCAGTTAAGTGGTTTATAGGTCATCACATAACGCGCAACAGTCATATTGCCTTGAACAAAGAGAAGGGGTGATCAGCTACTATAGCCAATAGCCTCCAAACCATTACTCCAACAGCAAATCCAATATTACGGTGTTCTCCACGGTGGCGTCTTACCCTTCTACGACCATCGTGCATACCTAGACAGAATCGCGATTCGTCGCTGAAAATGACATTATGTCGTTCTACCTCCCAATGTTGCCGTTCTTTGCTCCAGTTCAAACGTTGGCTACAATGGAGGAAGCACTAACCGTGGACGATATGGAAAAATCCAAAGGCTCGAATGCGGCGATAGAGTGTACGCAAAGTAACAGGTCTACCTTTTCCTCCAAACCATTGTTCAACGATCTGACGCATAGTAGCAAAACGGTCTCGTAGGGCTGTTGTTTGAAGCGCCTGTCTACACGCTCTGTGGTACGCCTCGGTGGACCAGTTGGCCTTCTTCGTGTTCAAATTCAAATTTTGCATTGCCCATAAAATAATTCTGTTCGATTAATAGAAAATCTAATTTGATTTAAACGTCCAGGTGTTGCATCAATTTTTACACCACTTCCTATCCACACACGACACACATGCACTACCGTCATTGCAGTACAATTAACACGGTGGCCAATTTCGCGATAGGAGAAATCAACATCTCGATATGCAATGATCTACCCCTGTGAAAGTCACTAACATGATGATCATTTGGACGTATTCGAAATCGAGAAATTTTGTTATGCTTTGCAGTAGTAAATGAAATGGCAATAACTGAAAATATCTGTACCTACTACTCAACTCTCAGAAACTGCTTTCTTCACAAAAACTAAGAGAACGTTTTAACAATGGTAAACAAAAATAAAGATAAAACGTTGACATTGTCGCCATACCATGCTTTAAATATAGTCATTATGTTGCCGAAAAAAAACTACAAGTGGAATAAATTACTTTTTCTGGGTGTAACACTTCTAATGTCACTGAGTATATCTCCAAATATCACGTGTTGTCATTCAGTATAAATAAGAATCAAATCCGTTTTGGATATAAATTTAATGTACTCGCTCTAGGTCCTTGATGTATGGTTAGGGTGACCATAATTTTTAAACAAAAAAAGTACACTTTTAAGGAAAATCACCACTGATACTTAGAGCAATTTTCTGTTTAAATCTAACACATTTTTAATCAAACAAAATACTTGTATATTTTCATTTAAAACTCAATGCCCCACAATCTTCTGGTGATCTAGCTGATCGATTGCTTCGAAATTCGAGACATGTATTGAAAACTACTGTATAAATCACCGGTAGCTAAAAATCGTACCGTGACTGCAAGTACTATATTTCTTGTAATGTGATGGTAGCTCTCTATTTTGTATCTTGTCGTCGTATTTTTTGTCCAATCAACGTGAGAAGATATTCAAAGTCTGTCGGATACATCCTTGTTGTACTGTACACTTAATTTCAATTCTGCAATCAAATTGCTGCAACCGTGTGCTGATCTATTGGTATATAACTGCGTTTGCCACCATCGTCTCGGAGGTCGTCGTCGTTTGTTTTTGGATAATTCGTAGCGTATTGAATATAAATATAGGCATTTCCACCAGTATTCGTCTGTCACTGAACGACAAACATCAAAATTGGATCGTCATTTTGTTGCGCGATGTGGTTGCACGACTTCGTCCGAAATGTGGTGATGTTCGTTGCAATGTTGTTCGTCAAAATGCGCGCGCTGCGTTTCGTCGAGTGGTTCGGTTTGCGGTGTTGTTACATATCTTTACATGGCTTTATACTGACACCGTAAATGTATGGAAACTAAATGCTTCTTTATCACCAAACAATACACGCAGCCACCACAAAAATTTAACAGAAAAACCTAACCATTTTATCACTTGTTGTTCATGGCAAGATAAATCGAAAATCGAAATCGGTGTTTACCTTTTTTTGTCGTTTCGACTTACTGTTTTGCGTTTAGTTTGTACTTCTGGATATATTTTCGTTTCAAGTGTTTGTTTTCTTGTCTTCGTATCGTTTACTTACTGGAAACTCTAGCAATTTTTTCGTCCCTTCGGTTATTTACTTTTGCTTTATTATTACATTTGACATAATATGTTCTCTTTATTGTTGAAGTTGTCCTGTAATTAGAACTATGTTCTGTTGAGCAATATATACTTTGCTTGTAAAGATTTTTTATTGGTACTTTATTGAAGGGAATATCTTTACAAAGCTTCGAGCGTACTTTCATAGTGATTCACACAAGCGTCACTGGTTGAGAAAGTGTCACTCTTTTTAAATCATATAAGACGCTCGGAAGAAAAACATTTTTTTGCTGTAACGATATTGTGTAGAATATTTCTTTATCACGTATTTAGCAGCATAATATACTGGAGAAATTTGGTGGATATAACGAGAGAAAAAGGAAAACAATATCTGGTCGCCCATTAAAAACTTCTAACTTATAATTCATGGAAATATCCTGGAACTCTCGAACTCAAATAATAATGACCTCGTTAGTGACTTTTGCTTTCTTTTTGCGGTTTCTACTTTTCACTTTTGATGAAACATACACACAAAAAACGAGCAAAGCCTTTTTCTGGTGTAAACTTGATGGTAAATTTTCTTTGTTGTTGGTTAAAAACAAGGGCTGAGAGGAAAACATCCAGAAAAACAATATAATAAAACTCGAGAAGCGTTCGCAATATCTGGAAGACACTCAACG